CTAGTTACAGAATGTGTGAATCAATACTTTGGCTTTGGTAAACGAACTCTTAGGAATTTTTGGGTAGCATTGGATACAAGGTTGAGATTGATGTATAGGTTTCTCTTTCACTTATGTCATTTCTATCTGACTGGTTCAAGGCTAGAGGATTCATTCTCACTTCTCAAAATCTAATTTATAAGACAATAACCACTAACATATTTAATAGTTGAGTTCATGAGTCAGTTGAAGCTAGACCACTATATAAAATCTAGAAGCACTGAACGGCCGTCCCGTTCTATAGTGGGACTCTTCAGCAGTGTGCATCCACGATCCCGCCCCACGCGAACATTTAACCTCTAGACCACTGAGCCGGCACCCGACGGTGTTAATGTTTAAGTTCGACCAATCGACGAAACTGAGCCACCGTCCACCATTGTAGGATCAGGAATGCGCACTGTTGAGGAGTCACAAACTAGGACGGAACGGCCATCCGGTGCTTCTAAGTTTTCCATGGTGGTCTATCTTCAATTGACTCATGAGTTTAACCATTATATTACTATAATATACACAAGACCTCTTTCTGATGATAAGTAACATGCTTAACAGTTATATAGCATTAATTTTCTTCATTTTGGCTCTGCTTCTATAAAGTGAAAAAAGATGAGGATAAACCAGGCCCTCTTATTACAATAACGCTGATCGTTTTTAACGTTTAAGAGCTGTGATTAAAGAATATTATTTCAATTCAGTTGACAAGTTCCAAATAGGATGAACCACATGTACCGGCTATATCCCATTTATTCTGCATCGAAAATTATTTCTGTTAGAAGATAAGATGATCCGATCTGACGTAAAGACAATGTATTTATTTTCAAATATTAGTGCTTGAGTTTTATAAATGGGGTTGCTGCTAAACATTTTAAATAAAATCCATACAATCAGTCTAATTTTACTCTTATTTACTGATTTCCTTGCTAGAAAAAGGAATAGCATTTCCGAAATCATGGAAGTTCTTCATATTTTTGTGTCCTAGGTTCTATCATTGGAAGTTTTCTCAATGTTCCTAATGTTAGAAGTGGAACTTGACTGATCCAGAGAATATTTTCCAGTTGATCATGAAGTTGGAATTAGTTGATTGTCATTAATTGCAACCAGGTGGTTAGACTTCATCATTCTGTTTCATAGCACATACACGTATTATGCTCACAAAGAAAAATATTTTCCATTTTCTAAGTCGTTCACAGAACGGAAAATTCATTTACCTAATGACAGTCCTTCAAAGATTTCTAAAATCTACATATATCGTCAACAAAAAATATACGTTTTTTCTAGATCTTTACATGAGATGTGGTCTCACAATGAATCTTTGCACCTAGTTGTTTTGATCTTTTTAATAATCAAAGAATAAATGATGAAGAACATAAATTATCAACCTTATCTTCAGAAAGGTACAAACTTCATATTGATCAAGATTTTAATTAGTGTCAAAATTTCAAAATAATCAAAATATTTTCATATAATAGAATAGAATGTAATATAACAGTATACAGCTTCCTCTGTTTAAGGTGATTTAATGAATGATTATTATCTAAAAACCTTGCAAACAATGTACAGCGAAGTTTTGAATTCTCTACAAAAATATTTAAATGTATTAAAAATTGATTTAGTTTCTCACGAATCATCTAATTTCCATGAATTTTTTGGTGAATTATGATAGTTTCTTACCATTAAGCAAGAACTATCATTTCATGAAGCTTAAGATTAGAAACTTTGTTTAGTAATTATATGACCATCACAAAAAAAGTTGTTTTAATAATGACTACTCAAATTATTTATCACATGACTGAACTAAGTCAACATTAAATAGAAAAATCAGACCCAGACGAAAACTGATACAAAATCAGCACTTGTTTGTACAACGTGGATATATAAATTATATTTTCATATTTTGTAAACAAGGAACGTAATGACCCTGAGCCAGTAAGAAAAAGTTTAACATTTAAATTAGTTTAATTTATTCTTTTTTAAATAATATATGTATTTTGATAAGCCAGAGACTTTTCCGTTTTGATTGTACAATGGGATTATATATCACACATACTGAGATGGAAGTCTACTAATATCAGGTTAATAGTTGAAAAGAAAAATCTAATCATATGTTAAAATTAAAACTTTTCGATATGGTCTGTCCTTCATCGTTAACTAAACTACTATGGACATGAATATGATTTTTGTCAGTGTGATACCCATTCACGTATAATAAATCCAAAATTCAACCGACTGTTCAACACGAACCAATATTATGTGAACGTGTGTATACCCCTGGTATCCATTTTAAATAATCTACTAATGAGTGATGAAAATGCTCAAAACATTTTGTGATTGAACTAGTTTAGTTCATAAACGTCAGTGGTGCTCAAAAGAATCCAGGTACTCAATCAACTTGAAAACTGTTGTGTTCTTTTTTCGCCGATAACATCGAATGACGAACGACAATTGATGCAAAACATTCATTGTTTTTCATATCACATCAAATAAATTGCCTGTCATAATAGTTTACGATTGTTAGTTTGGTGTATATGAACTGCTGTAACGGTTTCTGGGATGGTGTACCCAACAACTAATTTTTATTTCAATCATTAAGATCATGAGTCAGTTGAAGCTAGACCACCATGGAAAACCTGGAAGCACTGGACGGCCGGTTCGTCCTATTGTGGGACTCCTCAACAGTGCGCATCCACGACCTAGCCCCTGCGAGATTCGAACCCAGGACCTACTGGTTTCGCGCGCGAGCACTTAACCACTAGACCACTGAGCCAGCATCAAACAGTGTTAATGTCTAACTTCAACTAATCCACGACATTGAGCGACACATCCACCATTGTCTTCAGTGAGTTACTATCTCACAACAGACCTGGTTGAACTCCACTGGTAATTACTTCTCACTAGAACTCAAGGATATACCGTTTGAAGCCAGTCACTAGTGAGCAAATGTTGATTAATATCAGAAGGGGTTTTGTGGAGATTGTAGTGATTTCAATCATTAAGATCATGAGGAGTCCCACAATAGGACGAAACGGCCGTCCAGTGCTTCCAGGTTTTCCATGGTGGTCTAGATTCAACTGACTCATGATTGAAATCACTACAATCTCCACAAAACCCCTTCTGATAATAATTTTTATTTCTCTTTTAATTCATGTTATTTATTTGAGATAATGTCTATCAAAATAAATAACTATTCAGTATAATACATAGTTATTTCAAATAATTCTGATACGGGCATACATCGAAAAGACATTCAGTTTAGTTAATACTTTGATATGAAATGTAAAGATAAAATAAGTCCGTTGAAAATAAATAGTAAAAATTTACTTTAACCGTCGTTTAGAAATCTTGAGAAGTCAACGTTGGAGACAAGATGGACAATCAATAATTCTTGAAGCACGTGACTTACAATCTAATTTGTACTTCAGATTTTTTCAGTTAATATAATTTAGTATGTGGTTTAGGAAAGTGATGAATCGGGTGGATGTGGTTGCGATCCCAATTACATTTCATTTGATTGATAACCGCAAAAACAAAAAGAGGAAACTAATAGCCTCATTTCACATCTTGTAACTGATGAACAACAACAATTTATGCATGATATTAAAACTAGGAGGTAGTGAAACCACATATTTCACCGTTTTAGAAACAGAAATCCAGGGAAACAAGGTAACATGACAACAACAAACTACAGTATAATTCTCTAAGTTAACGTGTTTCGTCATAATGAAAAAAATCCAGGTATTTTGCAGACTACAATTCAAGGGTTATGAATAACAAAATAATTGATGACACAAAGGAGCGGAGTAATCAATATGAAGCTATTAATCATTAGGCTAAAATTAATAGATCAATAGTAAATTTGGACCGGGAAACAAGTACAATTTCGTAGTGACTAAGAAAGTTTGATTATATTCTCCTTTTGTATAATATATAAATAGTTATCAAGGTACTTGATAACAAATATTCCCGAAACATAACTTAAATTTGTTGACTCCAGTATGTTTCTTGTCCTGAAATATTAATCAAGAATTCAATTTCATAGAGAACCTTTTCTCAGCCTTGTTCAGTTGATTTCGCATGAACCGATAAACTCAATTGAATTATTGGTGTACCGTTAAAGCAACCAATTATGCTCATTGAAAGTTATAGTTTACTGTTTTTATTAATTTATTTTAAAATCTTGCTATATTTAATGAAAACACTATATTTCCTTATTCATACTTTGATATTTAGTGTTTATAGTTTTCGAAAATACAATAAACTAAGTATTTAGAAGTGGAATTGAATGAATATAATAATTTCATTTCTACTTTACTCCATATGTTAATAAGTAAACACTACTTATAACTAATGAACAAACATGTGATAAAGTACACTACTTTAGATAATTTGTCATGATAGCTTTGCCATAAACTGAAGTCAACTAACAGGAACAAAATATTAACTGCTATTATTAAAAAGAAAGACAAATTAAAAAATATCCCAACGAGTAGATAAATGAATTTCTGACAATTCGCGACTGAATGCAAGTTCCTTCTTCAGAGAATAAGTAAATAAGCAAATCCAATCAACATGTAATCCAGTTTTGAAGCATTTTATACTTGTATACATTACTTGACCATGAAATGATTTAGTTACTAATCCATTCAGAACACATGACGAAGCAATAACTAACCTTTTTATATGTCTGCTTTTTAAATACAGAAAATTGAGCAAAATATAAACTTTCCTTTTGATAAACACAGAGCATACACGAATCATATTCCAACCTACATATTTGAATATCGTATGAATCTGGGCAGAAATTTTTGTGTATTTGCCCGTTACACACTCATTGAAATGTAACTTAGTTCACTTGAACAACTATCAAAACACTTACTACATCACTGTAGTGCTTAAAAATTATACTGCCTACACAAATACCATAGAGAAAATTGATATCAACTACATCAATCGTTTAAAAAGACCATTGAAATCCAATACCTCTATTTTGTATTGAGTTGTTGAAAATAAAAAAACAGGATTTTTGTATAATATTACAAATGCTAATTAAAGCGGCGAATACAAACAAAAGGCAGTATTCTTAAAAACGACAGATAGGACACAATGGGTGAATCGGCTTGGGGAGTAAATCACTAATAAGAATAAGCAGAGTGCAACAAATTGTGAACATAAATAACAAAAATATATAATATAAATACTTGATTCGTAAACCAAAATTAAAGTTACTATATTCTTAGAAAGAATAAACGGAGTAACTGTTTGAATACAATATAGAAGGAAGTTGAAAAGCATGATCCGAGCGATAATGATGCTTAGATAGAATGGAGTTTCGATAGGAATGTTAGTGAGAGAAAATATCAAGAACATCCGATTGCAGTTAAGGATCCATTATGAGATAAAGTACGTATATAATCGTATGCATACAGCAAATCTAATATAGGCTAAAAAAGAAAGCACCTAAATAAGCTTTAAGCATTGAACCTTAAAAAGCTCAAAGGCGATAAGAAAATCAACAAACAGATTGGTTACATTTCTTGGAGAAAATAACGTGTGAATAGTCAACAGACTGGTTTCTAAATTTTAAAAGTTTAGGATATGGTTATTGTATTATACATTTAAATAAACAGTGTGATGTGGAAATAAATTTCAATGAGCACTGGGATAAGGTTATGGGAAGCACTACAATAGAAGAAGAATGAAATCGGATCATTTCATATTCCTTTGTTTTGGTAAAAAAAATACTTTGATTGGTTTCGCGAAAACAGTGAGCACCATTTATATGTAGCTGAGGGACTAACAGATGAATTGACAGCAACGAGGATAAATAAATCAGACAACTGTATTTCCAGCCGTATCACTAGGTTTGAGCAAAGGTTTTGATTCGACAACCTAGTAAAACATAAAAGAGATGGAAATATGGTGATAACGTTACAAAAGAATTATTAAATATATACGTGGAGCGAGCAAGCCGATTTGAATAAAGAAATATTGAGGTTCACTCTTTTTCATGTTCTGCAAGAAAGAATAGGCAAGTTATATCGAACTAGTTGAAAACAGTAAAAACGGAAATCAATATAAAGAATAATAGAAGATTCAATTGAGTACAGTGTTGACCAGTGTTACTTTCTTAATGCTTTCAAGGTTGGCACAAGATTGAATTTAAGTCCTATTAAAAAATTTTAAATTTCCATTTATAAATAGAAATAATACTAAGAATGAATTTCGAGCAATAATAATTTATATTTATATCAATTAAATTAAGATTGGATTAACAAACTCGTCAGTCAATCTTAACTAAGAGGGTAGCTATTGTAGTATATTTCTAGTGAAGAAATGACAGAGGATGAGTGAAATCGTGTATTATACAAAAATGAAACTGTTGAACTTTTTGACATAAAAGAAAATGATGGTTTGGAAAACTACTGAAGCATTTTTGATGAAGTGGTCAAGCACTTTTCAAGTGGACAGATACCAATAGAACTGAGGTTCAAGCAAAAGATCCAGTTAGTTTGTTAGCAAATCTGAGCAGGATCAAAAAATTAACGAAATGAGAAATGCTAAGCTATAAGAATTGGGGCGATTACAAAGGTGTTAGGTTGAATGTTGTGTTTTTCATGGAGTATTTATCTGAAAAGTAATAATTGACTGTAGATTAAAACAAAACGATATTTATTTTGTGTAAGTATCTATAATGTAATTAACACAAAAGACAAAACCCCATTAAATGTCTGAATTATCAAATGGAGTAATGAAAGCATTTAAATGTGATTGGGGTGTAGCTCAGTAGAATTCTACCTGCGTAAGTATTCGCATCTCTTTACAAGGTTCTATTTCTTTTACTTCTGTTTATAAAACTGCGCACTACTTTATAATCCTAGTATAAAATTGACCCTTTAAAACACATCATTATTAAAGTTCTAACCTGTCAGCAGTAAAAATAATTGACACGCCCAACAAAGATGTCGAAATGAAAATAGGAATTTAAATATATGTAACACAGTGCAGAGATGATAAATTTATTAAACTTGTTGACATATCCATAAAACGACACAGATATCATCAAGGAGAAAGTGCATATTTAGGAACTGCATACATTAAAAGGTACAACAATATTTTCAGTCGTTATTATTAAATGTCTTCGCTACGTACATGAAGGAATTCAACTAAAAAGATGTCCAACAGATATTCTACCTTTAGAACACCTCAGTCAGTCAGCAACAACGTAGAACATAGTACGTACGTACATCATTTCGAGTTGCTATACCACATTAGCACAGAGATGCAGTTGTCAATTCAAATCCCGTAGTGGTAGAGGTAGTAAGAGTATAAGCAGTAATAGGAAAGATAAGGGTTTAAGGATGTTATTCAAGGATTATACTCTTTGAATAACATCTTCAAACCCTGATCTTAGAACACCTCTCTGTAGAGCTACATTGGGATAAAATATGATATTGTTTACTGTTAAGGTTTCGTAATTTAAAATAAATACCATGTTAAGTAAAAGGCAATAGTGAATGATTTTCTCAAATATTGATCAATAACATAAATGAAAATTTCCTTTGAAATGTGAACAATTAAATATAATGTTGATGTATAGCAGGTTGAAGAAACCTTTTTCTATGTGATGCCTAAAATTCCTTTGATTTTAGCGGTTAGTGAAGGATTAAAGAGATAATACAAAGCGAAAATAATAATCTAGTATTAATATACGATTTCATTTACATTGACGGTTCTGAACTTATCATACGTATGTGTAATACCTGCTCTATTCATTGAAATTTCATATAAATATCGATAGAATTAATAAATCACTTCATATTAGTTAACGCACGACAAACGTAACATAATGTGGAGTGAATAAACATACAACAGAAACCTTTTAAATTATGCCTGAATGTCTTAAAATACATTTGAAGTTAGAATATGTCACATACAATTAGAGGCTTGACATTAACTATGTACTACTGAGGTTAAAAAAGTTGGCATTCCAATCAAGATTTATTTAATAAAACCATATTAACAAAGTAAACCAGACATATAAAAAAAGATCGAGATAATTGAATCTTTTACTTGTGATTATATACAAAATCAACGGCAAAAACTTGGTTTAAGAGCACAGCAAAATATTAATGAAATAAAACTTTATCAAGCTGTAACGTATACTGATTTCGAGGTACAGTAATACTACTGGACTTCTCAGAAAGATAAACAGAGATTTAAACTTGATAATTAAATTGTTACCAACTTGGAGTAGACATGGTGATGAAGTTGATCTATCAAATAGTTCTGTGCTTAAGTTTATTTTGTCCGGATTGGCTATTCACATGAGGGAGCTTGTCTACAGATAATATTTACAATTGGCTACGATCATTTGACTAAACAAAACCATAGGTTATACGCTACTCAATGGATGAATAACGGCACCTAGCTATTAAGTTTACAGGTAACATCACAAAGCTCGATTCAATGTTACTGAAAATCAGCTCTACGGATGTTGAACAGCAACTATTCATACCTCACAATAAAATAATTTTGCAACAAAAATGAAAATAATAATTTGTAAAAAAGTTGTTTTCATCGATTATAGGCCCAGGAATTATCATCCATTAAGATTAATTGCATTGTTATGCATATGTATATATTTATTTACACAAAAACAATGGAATGGACTTAATAAAATGATAGAAACCTATCTTTAGTTACTTATTGTTTTTTTGTATATAGTTATCCATCTACTTTTGGATTAGGAGGAAAACAATCAACAGACAAAGAAAGTGGTTTAATGCACCGGATGAAAATTTTTTATAGAAAAATCACGGATCAAATTGAATTGGGAACAGGAAAACCTGGAACATAAGCACACCGGTTAGGTATGTATTAACCAAGAAAATTTTTACCACGCACCAAGAGATTGATGAAAGATAATGAATGGTCTATATTAACAAAAACATACTTAGGGAAGACAAATTAATAGAGAGTCATGTTCAAATAATAGGACATATTGAAGCGAACAGATATTTGTATTGTTAGTTAAGTAGCAGAAAGAACCTTACTTCCACCAAAAGAGTGATTGTTTAACGCAAATAATTTTGTCGCCGAGTTACTACAAGAGTGTGATTCGACAACTTTATGCATGGTTTATTCGTTAATAAAAAATTGTAGTGTCAAATTCGCTTACGTATTACATAGAAGTTATAAGTATTCTGTCTGGAGGAGATTGCAGGCGGTCGATAACCTCTTCCTATAATCGCGTAAATGTGCAGCGTGTGATAATAAATATACATAGAATTCAAATAAACTCAAGCTTTCGCAGACATCACTACTTAAACTTTTACATATTGTAGATATACAAACTATCGTAGGGTTTATCATCTAAATCAAAGTATAAGGAATACCGTCAATAGTTGCTTGATAGGAATCTTACTTCAGAGTGATTAAGAAAAGTATTTCGAAAATCTGCTGAAGTACATTACAATCATGAATTTTGTCATTATTACTTCTTCTCAGTTATTTAAATGGTCCGTTTATAGTATGAACTTGATTATATATACTTTCGCTAAATAATTAATACTTATGTCAGTAAATCATAAGCAACGTAGAACCTGGTACAATGTGCATAGATCTGATTAGGCATATAGAATTGTGATTTAGCTGCATTCTAGACAAGATTGATAAACCAATATTCGGTTGACCACAGACAAAAGATGTATAAGTGACGTAGGCAAGATCGATGTAGAACTAGGGTTCGGACTTACGATGGATATAATGATATAACAAATTGTCACGTAATAGTACATATTTCTTATAAATCAGTTGTACAGATGTACACTAAAAACGGATTAAGTTACTATAAAATATTTTAATTGATGAATAGTGATTTGATCTCTAATTAGGAACTGATGTGTACATTTTACTCAAAAACAAATAATTACTGGGTGAGGTTTATAGAACTGATAAGAAAATGACGTGACATAAAAGTAATAAAGTATCTGTAACTGACTAATTCAAATTACTTAACTAAATGGCTTTTAATATGTGATGCTAACTTACCTGAAAAGATTCGTGTTCTGGTGAAGGTTTAACAGTCCATTGATCAAATGGACTTTCATCTGATTTATTACATAACCCAGAATCTGTTGGCATGAATGTAGATTCAGCTTGACCGTGAATAGAAGCACTATCAGTTTTTGTTAATTTATAACGCTTTAATAGAACTGCTATCAAGATGACGGCTGATATAAGTGCAAGTGAGCCGACAGTTGATAAAACAATAGGTATTATTTTCTTAGGCTTAAGAATATACTTTGATATTTTACTTAACGCCTTTTTGTCAGCCACTGCAAACTGAAAGCGAAATAGTAACAACATACTCATAAACTCTGAACATAAGTACAAAAATAAAAAAGGATGTATGAAAAAAATGATTTAAATTTCAAGTAGCTGTATGCACAAAATTATTCACATCCACCTGTAGTCACTCTAGGGTTACTGTTGGTTCCAAACGCGAGTATTTGAAAAGGTTGAGTGTAGGATTACAAACATATCCTCCGAAAAACGAAACTCGACAAAAACACCTAACCACAAATAATCATTTGAACGATTCAACCTCTCTTCCGACAATTGAAGGACTTCCACATAGAATAGTTATCATACCTCGAGTTGGAGACCAACATTGTTCAGAAGTCAGCAGACCGACGACACTTCTGACAGCCACAGCAACAATTAGTACAAGTATATGAAATGTCCACACATTGTAGGTGACAGGGAAGCTAACTCGAAAAGCAGAGCAAGTGATGAGATGCAATCTGACTGTGTTTCAAACAAGTGAAACTCATCGGACAACGTTCAGATAAAAACAATAAAAAAATCATAACGCTAGGATCATCAAAGCACCCTTCAAAGTAAAGGATTGAGGGGTTACAGTGTCTGTAATTCAGTGCTACGTACCCACCGATAACAGTTACGAAGATGATAGAGATCAATTTCGTAAGATGCTACAGACTTTCGTAAGAACAGACCAGGAAAACGTCATATGATGACCATCCGATGATAAGGAGCATAAACACAAAGGACGAGATGTACAACATGGAGTATGGATGCATCATAGGGCCACATAGGTTGGGAGAACGAAATGAAAGACTGGTACACCTACCTACGATTGTTCAACAGAATGGTCATAGTGGGGAGCATTTTTCGCCATGATTTTCTACATGCAGCTCCATGGGTTTCAGTAGACCTCACTGGAGAAAACTGTATCGATCGCATATTCATGTGCTAACATTCTAAAGAACAACACATTGTATCGAAATATAAAGGCATACATCATAATAATGAATAGACATCGTCAAAAATTACTAAGATCATCCCAGGACAGAGCTGGGTGGAGATGGCTGGTCGGTAGTAACAAGCTTAAGTACGTAAATCACGACAATGTTCCACAAAGTTGATTTATAAATAAATAAGTGAAGGGAACTATTCATCATTTATGTTTTGTGTTATTGAATTGACTGTTTGGTTGATTTAGAAGGGCATATTCATATGAAAATAAAAAAAGTTTTTGTTTGAATAATTAATGCTGAAAATTAGTGAACACTGTGTTTCTTAGTTACATCTGATGAATTTAACAATAATGGAAACTCGTCGTTTAATAAATACTTGAACCTATTGTTATGTTTCACTATCCCATTTTTTATTAATCACATTTATAATGACTATAAAAACGTCAAGGAGAAATAAATCACTCTAGTAAAAATTATGTGGAACCGTTTTATTTAGTTGAAAGACACAACGATTTGACTAATTAAGTCTAATAAAACTTTACTTTAAAACCTTAAATATATCAATCCTGGATTACATGTACGAAGCTGTGACCTTTTTCTGAACATTTCATAATGAAGGCCGCTTATATTGAAAAACGAACACTTTATAGTAGCATATAGAAACCAGCTACTAGTAGATTTTATTAGTAAATGACATGAGTTTTGAGAAGAAAACTGATCAAGAGAAAACCATCTTAATCCGTTTCTTATGAAATTGTGGTAACCAACAAGCGAATATATCTAGCTGATCAAACTACTTGATTTATTGAAAACAGGATGATAAAAATAATTTTAAGAAATTACAAGTGATAACGAATATTGTATCGCCAAAACAATTATTAAAAATTTTTCCTATCATCACTTACCTCGGTGAACCAAGCTAAGGGAAAGAAATATGGTCCTGCCATATCTTGGTATACTTCACTCCTACACAAAAAACAAAAGTAAAAAGCACAACATCTATAAGTCCCATTCTTTAGAATTAAAAGAAATTTAAATTTGAAGAAATATGTAAAAACCTGGACATAAGGGAAATATGGGAGAATGAGTAATCTGTTAATCAAAACCATGATTTTAGTATTGCAACTGTTCTGAAAATCAACGCAAAGTTTTGTGATGACATTTACATCATAACGCCATATGAGCACATTCTAGTCTCTGGACAGACAAATCATGTTGATTTTATTAGTTGTTATGTACAATCGTATATTTGGTTATGTTAACTGCTGGGTAGTCATTTAGTGTTATATTTAAAAGAATTTAGTTACTTGGCTTTTTGAACTGTTTCAACATTTTGAAAAACGTTTATGTTTTGTTAAACAGGCTTTAATTCGATAACGGTTTTTCTACACGCCACACATAAGGTCTATAAATTTTTTTCACGCATATATTGAAAAACATCGTATTTTATATAAAGTCCAAACGGAAATCCGAATCCAGTGAGCAAAAACAGTGCTTGATCGATGGACGTCATCACACATCAATCATGACACTCTTCACAGCAAGTTCTATGTTGATAGAAGAAAATACAGAGACCTGGTAATTGGAGAAAACTAAACTGATGGATATTAATATGGTTAAATACCTATCAACTAAGTACTTAAATACTAATCAAGAATTCATTTAACACTTCAACAAACAATATCTACAGACAATTGAACATGATGAAACAGTAGACCAACTATTTAGAGAGGGTGCATTAAAACTAAATTTTTATTATTATATTACACTATTAAAGTTGAAAGTGCACCACAAAATAGACCAAGATTACACCCAAACCATATATAAATTTAAATTTTCCCAGGATTTTATGTATTTCGGTGCATAACCCAGTCATATTAATTACTTAGCGTAGTGGAGTTCAGTTTAGAAGTAAATGGTATTTAAACATGAAATCTGAAAATGAGACTCTTTTAATTAATTATATTCAAACAAATTTTATTGAAAATAAGTAGTGCATGAAAGAAAAAGCATTATAGTGTTCTTAATATGGCTCAAAATAACTTACAAACCACCATTGTTTTCAATATATGCATTAATTTGAACCTTTTTAAAAGCTTCCAATACAAACCCAGTATTCTATAGTGTATTAAGAAAAAGCAAAAAAAGATAAACATAATGTTTACCTACTTATTAAAATAATTTCAATTTAGGTCTTATATTGTAGTGAGAACAATATGTATGTCTACTCATCATCAAATGTGAATATCTCAAAAAATAAAAAAACTATCAAATGTTACCAATTTATGTTAAATTTCTGACTTACAAAATAACTGGATATATGAACTTCGAATCAAAGAACGTACAATGTCGATCCTAATTATGTAATACTTATAATTAAGCATTATCATAACCAGGTAGAAAAAAATAACATATACTTAATAGGTTTTGATAATGATTGGTTGAGACATGACTATTATACTCAATAATTCACCTGTAATGGATAGCAATAAATTTCAGTCATGTGTAAATATAGGTGGAAGAATTAGTCTCGCAAGCTAAGCATCAGTAAACACACAAATATCTTATTGGAAAGAGTATTTAAACTTTATTTTGCTTTAGGTTGTACCAATAATGATCGTCTTCACAAACCCAGAACGCAACTAACTGAGAACATAGTATCAAAATTGAAAATAAGTGCTGCAAACTGTAAACAGCCAAAGCCAAAACGAAGAACAAGATCAAGCAAAGTCTGTTCTTATCACAATATATCAGTTAATATGACCGAGAAAATTAAGAAAGCAGACGAATAAGAGGTGAAATACTCTGTAGTATTTATAAAATATCGTAAATTGTGCCAAATATGAACTACTTCTAGACGGAACATGTTTATTAACATTTTAGTTGTTTATGGATATTAAAATATAAACTGAATTTCGTTATTGTCAATCTAGCACTAGTACAGTATGGGAGAATTGTAATTCAAAAAAATAAATTTAAGGAAAGCCAGGGAGAATAAGTCAATCAGTGAATTATACAGTTTGAAGATCAGTTCAAGTAGTTAACTAGTTAAACGAAATATTAACACATGTCACTCACAGGTTCAATAAGTAATGTAGTAGAATCAAGCTTTTCATCAGGCTTTCTTATCCCATCCATAGCTGCCCGAATACTTGGGTCAGCTCCCAAGAAATGTGGCTGGCAAGCAAATATAGGGACTGAAATCTTAGGGTTCGAGCAAGGTGACAAAGGTATCATTCCCGTTGGAGGACAGTCTGGACCGGCCTTCTTCTTCGGACAGAATGCAGCATTCAACGGATTAACAGTGGCGTTCTGGGATTGTTCGGGATGAGACGCAAATCTAAGTAACTTGAAATGAAAAAATATATAAAGACAAATGTAACCTAATAATAATGCATTTCTTGTTTTGTAAGTACTTTTAGCAATATTTTACGTGATAGTAGTAATAATAGATCTTTACTAAATTTAGTATACAGTGTTTATTCGCTACGGATCCCGACAACAATGTGAGATGTGAAGCCCAGGAGTGATAAAAGTAAAATCAAGATCCAATAAAATGTATATCGCAAATGACGTTTAACTGGAGGTAAAGAAATAAAAACAAATCATTATATATGTTGCACGATTTAACGATGGTAGATTTCTAAGCAAAATAAATGCCTGCTAATTTACATGCAATTTAAAACTTCCAATACTAAAAAATTTGCAAAAATAAAGATGATAATTCAGATTAGGAAAAGTACTTTATTCTCACTTTATTCTAACAAGTTGGTTCAACACAAGTGAATTGATTTATTCAGCCTACCGAAGCTTTGTCACGAAATTCTGATGACTAGTCATGGTTTTATGTAACTTCGCATGCTTATCATGAAACGCTGAAGACGAATCACTCTACAAGGTTATAACATTCGCCAAACACATTTAATGCACAGTAGAAACTAATTCACATATCTCGCTGAATATCATTCTTATTTTAAGCCTATGGATTTCATCCATTAACTATCACTGTACATATAAACATATAACTTGTAACACCATCAGTGAGAGCCTTTAGAAAATGAATTAAAGTATGAACTATCGATACAAGTCATTTAAAAAAATACACACCCAATAGAAAAAATCAAATATCTTAATGAAGAAAAGTAGCAATTTTGTTATGGACATATAATTCCCATTTAAACACTAATTATGCTATAATCCTTTGGTGATATGATGTAATGAGTAAACGATTTATTCTCTTCAACATAAATACGAATGATTAAAATGATAAACCTTAATTTCGATTATTCAACTCTAAATAGTCTGATGAAATAGACAAAAATTATCATCATCACAGAAATATTTACCAATTCGCATTTGCTTGGTCTCCGAAAATTCCCTTTTACCCTGCATTTTCACGTCACTGTATAAATGATCCCAGTGTGGGAGTGTGAACCATTTAAGTAAAACATCAATATAGCAGCACATAAATCCAATGACTGAGATAAATATAAAAAATAAATCAATGAAATTCAGTAACCACGATTGACCGATTTGCTACACTGAGCCATAGATATTACGTGTGTATATGTGGGTGCGCACAAAATAGTCTAGCTGATTAGTGACACAATAACTAGCGATAACGGCTCATGGAAAATCTTAAGGATCTCAGTAAAAACTATATCTAACCTATAGTATAAGCAAAACGAAGTTTTGAATGAATAGTCTGACAGTCAAGCGAATTCAGTGTAAACAGTTAACCAACGAAATTTGTAAGACGTTCTGGTTATGTCTTTTGGAATTTAATGACAACAGTGTTAAGAAAACAGTATTTACATTCTCTTTCTATTTGGTCGACAATATGTACAAAATAAACAGTTTGGAAGATGAAATTTCGGAAATCATTTAGTTCAAGTTTCTATAAGACTTAAACATTCGAAAAATATCCTTAATCACCCTACTATCTTAAGTATGATTGTAATTTGTCAGATTTATCGTCAAGCCAAATTAAAAATGTGTACCGATCTTCGTTGACACTTTGTGTGGAACAACTTAAGTCCACGCAAAAGGTTTTATATGATTCTGTTTCATCATTTCTCTGAAAAGTTAAAGGAGTGTTTAAATGTTAAATGTTCTTGGGATACACGTTCCTTTTCCTTTTACACAATAATTTGTCGCCTCGTTGATAAAGAGTCTAGGATGAGGCAGGAAAACAACAAAACAACTGAGTTGAAATGTCTTTTATGCTGAGTAATATAACATAGAAGAACACCTAACAGTGTTATTAGCACATGCGTAGCACACACTCGGTCAATGTTAACAGGAAAATGTAAAGTATTAATTAATGTGGCTAATTTTAGCTAGCTGAGACTGAAGCATAATAGGAACACAAACTAAAGGTTACTTTCTAACACCCTATTGGAAGTAGATAATCAGTCGTCATACACAAGACAGAATTTAAAATTTACCAGTTTTGTTGTGGTATCCATTCATTTAATTTAGATCATAAGCGATTACCTGGATACTAGATTTCTAAATTTTGAAATGTATTTTCTCTGTTAAATCACAAACCGGCGCCGAAGTAATATTCCTACAACTGTGTTAAGACAATGAAGTATATAATTGTCTCCTTAACAAAATGCAAAAGGACTGGGAAAATCATGACTTATATTTTAGTTAGGATATTAGAGAAAATAACAGAATATACACAAGTAAAAACAAATACGAAAATTATTGAATACTTTTCAGTATAACTGATATTCTACTCGTGTAATTATTAGATACCGGTACTTACATGTACACTACTGTCATGAGTTGCAGTCGTCCAACCAACAGCATCTGAATGAAAGGATCTGCAGAAATCTGGCACAAAAAAGGATATTCGAGAAGACATTCGTAATCCTGGCCGTATAACACTTCCATCTGAAAGTAAAAAAATTATTAGTAGTAATATTTAATGTAGGAAACAATTGGGAAATTTCGTTCTCCAGTTTCACACTTCTGAATATTCATCAGAAGGATAAATTTAAGTCACCATCTTGGTTGTTATGGTAAATCAATTAGAAGACTTGTCAATTATATGACCTACTTTTGTGGTAACTGACATAATGCGCTAGAGAAAACAGTGGCACTAGGTGTTTAAACATATTTTGTTCAACTCAGTTGACAAAGGTTTATCTATGATTAAAATGAATCACCATATTTACCAAGCTCATCCGCTTACTGCTCTTTGCTTTCAAATTAAGCATCTCAGTAGGCATTAAGTTTAATATGCTTATTCTAGTTAGCGTTCTTCAGCAAGGTTGTTTTGTACGAGATGGGGTTGCTGACTTTACGCCCAACTCTCCTCCTTTACTCGGGTTTGGGACCAGCACTAACCCTAGAAGAGTTACAGGTGCAGGAATGCCAGAGAACAGTGTTGAGAATTGGAATCAGACATCAAAAGGATGGAAACAACTGGAAAGGATTGCCCAAGATAGAGTTCGATGAAGAATGCTGGTGGGCGGCCTATGTTCTTTCACGAGGAGTAACAGGCCTAAGTAAATAAGGCATTAGGGTATTGCTAGTGTAGAAAACGGTTGAAAGTTAGAGGCGGCCAAACAAAAACGTGGCATCATTCCTTGAAGTCACTACTTTGTTGGGGTTCGCACGACTATGGTAACCAATGGTTGGAGACTCGGAGTGACATAGCTCAGAATCGATCACAATGGCGTAGGTGTATACACTTTCTGTCTTCCCTTAAACCATGAGATTAAAGTTGCTTTATATCTTTCTTACTACCAATTAATTTTTTCTTCCTGTATTATATCATTATATGCAATTTTTCTTTCACATATCACTACCATTGAATTAACTATTTCTATAAATTTTGTGTTCATCGTGTTGTGCCGATGAGGTGTGGCCACTTGGACCGATGCATATATGTGTCTGGTCCTACGTTGTAGCTGACTGACTGACATTAGGGTATTTACGTGCTAAGTTCGAAAAATTTAAGTTTTTTTAACAGATGTTAATGTGCATATGTTCATAGTTGATTAGGAGATAATGGAGTTTATAAGCTGTATATAAAATATAAAAATGGTATTCGAATATTCATAATGTTGAAAGTGTAAAAGCAACTTAACATTCAGCTAGAAACTATCATACCTGTGCCATTTATCATATTAGCGTAATCAGTACGCCAATAGTTCAAAGATCTGAATAAGAACAAGATAAAAGCATAATATATATTATATTACATGAAATTATTATCACATATAATAAATCTAACGATAGTCGGAAATGATGTACAGCTGAGATTTACTGAGTGATTTTCAATGAGATTACTGATTATATGATCATCTTTTGAATAATCACAGAGTGTAATTGGAAAAAACTTACTGAATTATTGACACGGAAGAAATAATCATGCGTTACTTAAATTTCTATATTGTTGCTGATGTGTATACAGTTTGTAGCTTTTTCAGAGTAAAATCATCTCAGGAAAATACGTATCATATTAGTAGCAATATTCTCAAGAAAGTCCTATCACAAATATCTAAAATCACTTAGAACGCACACATTATCTATCACTTCAATAGTAATAACAGAAGGTTAGGCTATGATCATTAAGTGCATACTATTTTTTCTTACATAAAATGTCTTCAAAGTTAAACACTGAAAAGATGTCTATACACCCATAGGGAATTGAAATTTTTGGACTAAAAAATTAACTGTCAAAAAATCTTTTGAGATGTGTTAATTAATGGCAACATGTTAAAAAATTTCATAATCATTCTAGATGAAAACACAGCGAACTAAATACAAAGCTGTAACATCCTTTAGATTGCTGTACAATGTGAACATGAAGGATACTGACTATTATCTAAGATGTAAACTAATAACTTCTAACTGCTTAATCTTGAAAAGATTTTATAGATCTTAATACAGAGTCACAGATTAAGCCGAACAAATATTGAACGTATGTATTTATTTATTTACAGAACTGTATTCTATTTTTTTACTTTTCAGTCAAGCAATATCCTCAGATTGTCCGAACTGATATAAATGGACTGTTTGGAACACCCAATTGAATTGCAAAAAGTTGATTCCCTTAATTACAAAGCTATAAATATAGCTAAAAGTTACTGATACATTTCTATACATGTACTTACGTTACTCCATTGTATTGTAGCACTTTCCCGACGTTTGAAATATTGTAAGCACCGGTATCAATCACGAAATCAGAAACTTTTGTACCATTGTTCTAGAGGTGAAAGAAGGAAATAAATGGTCTTAAAAAAATATACAAAATCGTTTGTTATTCTTAAAATTCCAAGTCACAGCTTTATGATAACTAGAGCAAATATAACTCAATAAAAAAATATACTAACTAATCAGCTCAACATTAATTTTACAGATATGTAAATAAAATAAGACATTTCTAAATACTTCATATTTGAAAAGTAGAAATATACACATATGAGATCCCAGTAACATTACTGTGTAATTTGTACATGTTGAAACAATTGGGAGTACTCTTAGGATTCTGTTCTCATAGTTTTCCTCATATCTTGAGACTGAACTGAGATGTTCATTCGTATAATAACGTTTAGAAGTAACAAATTCACACAGATTGAAAACTTTTTTATAACTATGGGACAGCGAAGAGTTGTTATATTAGTTTCATTGTAACCTGTTGACATAACAGTATTGTTCAGAATTTTTAAAGTTACAGTGGGTTTTATCGATACCAATTAAGCGTTATGTTGGTAATATTTTACGTTTAGTGAATAAGAAATACTTAAACGAAAAAAACAGCCTGTGGGGGAAACAAATCTACTTTGTAGCTATTCGTGTTTAGCTTTATGCATACAATTAGTGTTCGATTTAAAATAGTTATAAAATCATGTATTCAATCTGATAAATCAAAGTGAAATATCGACGATGATGTGAATTTCCATGCTCAGCGTTAGACATCTTGTAATAGGTTAGTTAGGAAAAACACTTATTATCACTTTTTTTCTAGATACCGAACAATTCATCGATAGTTGCGTAATCCTTCAGTTTATTCTTCTTAAATAGTTTAAGGTGTTAGAGTATTTATTTTTCTATCGGGTGAAAGGTTATTATTCTAAAACCTTCTTTATAATGTAGTAACCACGTACTAAATCAATTGTGGTGACTGCCACATAAAAGTAATTTTATTGACTATTATAGTCCAGTACTATTTATACGAGAGGGATTTTGATAAAGAGATTCCAACTGATTCAAGACCTCAATGGTTCAATTGTTTTTGAATAATACAACACAAGATAACTAATCATTTACTTACAAAATATATAAGCAATTTTGAATAGGTGAATCAACAAAGTAACGTGTCCTTTTTCATACAATGAGTTAATATAGTTAAGGTCCTACATAGGTTCCTCTTTTTATGAAAGTAATTCTTCAACAGTAAATAAATACTGCTGTCACTCAGTGCTTAGCTACAGGTTCAGGAATAGGATAGAACTGTAATAGATATACGTACGCATTAAATACCTTGGAAAATATTGACTATAATGTTTAACAGCAGTGTAAAATCTTCGGGTATTGCAAGTCCGTGGTTCGATAGTGTGCATTTCTATAAGTTCTCAAAACAGCTGTTCTGTTCTCCTGATTTTGGATTTCCATCGAAAGGCTTAGATTTTATTTAGAAAACATCTTAAAACTGGTCAGTGCTTCGCAAACATTAACTAAGACACTCCAGTTACTCGATAAGCATCGTTAGTCTGTATTATGATTATAAGGTATTTTATAAATGTTTACTTATTTGCCGCAGCATCCTTGGGATAACAACAAAACAACTGCGGTTTAACTTTGTTATTATTCACAACCAACCACGTATTGATGAATAAATTTTTACACCTTCCGTCTTCACACTCCTCAAACTTGTCTGTTGCCTAATAATATTAGTGATTTTCAAAATGTCATAATCAGTTATTATCGTTGTTTAGAGATGAATATAAAAGTCAATTATTTGTGCAGTGACTAACATTTTAGTAGCATGGTTACAGCCATATATAATTTGTTTCTCAGAATTGCTGTCTTCATATATTTGCGTACCCAGATATATTGAGCATATAATTCGATAACACCTAAACCTATAACCACTTTTTTTAATATTTACGGTCAAGCTCTCAAAATTTATTGTTAGACGAAAAGAAAAAACCCAATTGTTTTAATGTTTGAATCTACATAAAGGTTACGATAAGCAGTACAATCATAAGACTGTAAAATTCAAGGAAGCTACAGTCGAATGAATTAGGAATTTCAGGATATGAAAGCTAAAGTGAATGTGGCTTTCACCAGTTTTCTACACATATATTAAATATAGTAATACTCAAGGAGTAAGTTCAAAATACAGAACATCTAGCAGTGCATAATAAATAAAATGAAAATTTGTAGGTAAAAGCAAATTACCGTAGCCATTAAGCCAGCACGATCGGTGTCACAAACTTTAGAACTTAAACAAAGAGACATCAGTGGATCATGATAACCCCAGATGATTTCACGAGGTGTCTTCGAAATGAATGCGTTGAACGTGTATAAAAAAAAAATTATTTTGTAGTATTCCGGAAGATTATTTATGGCCTATAGTAACACATAAAAAATATAAGGTTGATATGATAAAGGGAATGTGATAAACGAAAATTTTACAAGCGTTTCGTTGGTTTGACCATCCATTTCTGAAACTTTCAAAGATGCATGCACAATAATTAAATTTCGGAGAAAACATCGACAGGTGATAACAACTAGAAAAACAGAAGTAACAAATTATAGGTAAAATAGAATTCTTAGTAGTTAAATAATTGTCTTCCAAAAGTTAATATTAGCTGCTTAAAGCGAGTTAACTGCACCAGTAAATAACGAATCACCGGATAATAATCAGTCAGCTTTTCCACAAACTATATGTATCATCGATAAGAAGCAAATAAGATAGATAATAACCAGTCTTGAATTAACATATTTCCATCAGTGCATAAAATTACATAATAGTTTTTATTTATTAGATTAGTAATGATCTGAATCAGTCAATATGACATAGGACAAGTGTAAGGATGTACAACCATCTGAAAAGATACAGATTATTAATTAACAATAAATTAATTTTGTCAGTATGTCAAAGTAAAGCTGTACTGAACCTTTGTAATGCTGTTTCTTCAACTGTTCAGTACCTCTTGAACTTCAGTTTTATCTTGGCCACAACCAGGTAGTGACCTGAAGCTGTCAGCTCATATCCTGGTTTTCACGTCTTTTATTGACGTTCTGAATACTTTACTGATGCAAATATGATTGATCTTATTCTTTGTAGTGTAATCCTGTGCGACCCAGGTAGCTTTGTGTGGAAATATTGTGCCGCCTTTAACCGTTTTGTTGAATGTACATGTCTATTTCGCCCCATGATATCTTGACACCCGGCGTTGTCCATTCCGAATTTGACGTTTAGGTCTCCCATCAGGATGATCAGGTTTTTTCCTGAGCACTTCAATATGATCGATTGCAGCCTCTCATAAAACTGGTCTTTATCGTCGTCATTGCTATCATTGGTGGGTGCATAACATTGGATAACACTCATTAAGATTCCCTCCTTTGTTTTGAATGATGCTTTGATGATTATGGATCCATGAGATTTCCCATCCTATAAGTGCTTTGCATGCTTCTTTGGACAGCATCAGTTCAACTCCTTGCGAGTGTGTGGCTTTTTTTCTCTATGATCATAGTACAATAGTATTTAACCTGAATCTAACGTTTAAAGTCCAGATTTGTTCCAGTGCATTTGATTGAAACGTCAAGTTGTATCTCCTCATTGCCTCAGCGATTTGACTGGTCCTTCCGGTCTCTCATATTGTTCGAAAATTCCATGTACCTATATTAATTGTTGTTCTGGTTGTTAGAAGGGGCATAAGCCTTGTGACTTCCGAAGAATCTCGGCTTTTATCATGAGGCGCCATAATTCTTCCTTCAACTCGGAGGGCAGAGTTTAAATGGTTTAATTTTATTCTGGTTAGCGTTTTTTAGCAAGGCTGTTTTCTACGGGATGGGGTTGCTAACCACATGCTCAACCCTCTTCCTTTACCCAGGCTTGGGACCGGCAGTAACCCCAGAAAGGCCACAGGTAGAGTTGTACCATTTTAAAACGAACTTTAAATTACCAGACTTTGTTAAATTAAATAAGTGGCAACACACAAAAACAAAGAGTTGTAACATAATGAGTTTAAAGAAAGTATTATGAAACTTACTACTGTTACCAGATCAAGACTTGTAACGATTCCCTGATCATCAGGACCGACAGAGAGATCAGGTTGAAAGTGGTAGAAAATTCTGTGTTGATATTTTACAGTTTTCGGAGGAGATTCTTCAGAAAATTCTACATTGTTACGTTGACGATCCTCGCTGTATTCAAAATTTAAAAGTAATCACTATCGTCATGGATGCCATATTAGATATAAATAGAGGAAACACTACGCACGAAAAGACATCAAGTAAAAGTTTCAAATCTCATTAACTATAAATCAAATAAACTAACCGATAAACGTAAGGGCCAACTTCAGTAAATCGTGGTCGACCACCACTTAGAACTTCTTGAGGATTAGTCAAATTATACAGATATATGGAAAAATACACAGGGACACTTGGTGATTTCCAGTTATCAAAAATTTCACTACCGGGTAAAATAGCAAGTTTCTACAATGTACAAGAGAAGTAGACAAATTCATAATTCGACGAAAATACTAAGTAGTTAGATTCTGAATTATGCTTTTGGATATACAAATGTGAAATTATTAGTGAGTAAAATTGATTACACTGTTAACAAGGGTAATTTGACGTGGAAAATAGGGTTCATCTACTTTAATTTGGAACCAATATCAACAAGTGGTATTCTACCACAGGCAAAATTAATTAATCTAAGTTCTAAAATTATGTATGCTAGTAGTTTATTTTAAAATACATTATACCTCACAAGTGACGTTAAGGGAAAAGGTAGTATAAAGATATAAAAAGAGAGGATCAAGTAATGGGAGTAATGACACAGAAACTCGTGTTGCTTTTGCTGCTTTCCTATAAGACAAATAATAGTAATAATAATAATAATAAACTACAAATACTATTGGTTTCAATTTTAAATTCTATCATGATGTTTTAGTTAATGAACTGCATGAATGGTAAAACAACACTACGCATCGATCCCTCAGACCACGGCATTGTCATACAATAACCACTGATTAATATCAGTAGGGGCTTTGTGGAGATTGTAGTGATTTCGTGATCTTAACCATTGAAATTACTACAATCTCCACAAAATCCCTTCTGATATTAATCAACATATGCTCACTAGTGACTGGCTTCAAGAAGTATATCCTTGAGTTCTAGTGAGAAGTAATTACCAGTGGAGTTCAACCAGGTCTGTTGTGAGATAGTAACTCACTGAAGACAATGGTGGATGTGTCGCTCAATGTCGTGGATTAGTTGAAGTTAGACATTAACACTGTTGGATGCTGGCTCAGTGGTCTAGTGGTTAAGTGCTCGCGCGCGAAACCAGTAGGTCCTGGGTTCGAATCTCGCAGGGGCTAGGTCGTGGATGCGCACTGTTGAGGAGTCCCACAATAGGACGAACCGGCCGTCCAGTGCTTCCAGGTTTTCCATGGTGGTCTAGCTTCAACTGACTCATGATCTTAACCACTGAAACCACTGATTGTCATTTCTCAGCTAGCCCCGAAGTAGATCTGGTATTTACTAGATGTATGATAGGATTTTAAACAGATTTTAGCTGTGTAAACCGCTTTATAGAAAAATTCAAACTATATACAGACGTTTGGCATAAGCTAATATACGTTTTGTAATAGAATTACCATTCCTAACCATTTCTCTCCGTATAAAAAAAATGCAAATGTCTGGGAAGATGTGGATATTTGTGTATAATATAAAAGACAAACCAAAAACTCACCCTAGAAATCAGACTAGCAAATAAATGGTTGAATATAAATAATCCGACTACGCATATCAGGGACAAGAACAGCAATGCAACAGTGGATAAAATCAAGCAAATACGATTAGGTTTCGATATACGAGCCATGATTTATGTGCAAGTAAATTGTTATTGAAGAAGAGTTTATCAGTAGTAATATGTAAAATCTTGTGGAATGTAAGCTGCGAATCGATGGTGAGATAAGATAGAAAAACAATGAACTGAGCAAATGTATGTTAAAGAATCAAACAGCTGTTGAAAACACCATAGACGTGAATTTACGGACAGAAATTTCTGTAGACCTACAAGAGTTAACAGTAAAATTTAAAACAATTAGTTCATTCTTGATAAATCTGGATAACGCAATAAGGTGAATATTATTCGTGTAGTACATTTCGAACCATCTGATTACATAAACTTGTGAAGGACATTTATGTATGAAAAATCAAAAGGTGAACTAGACAAATCGGAAGGTAAGGAGAAACAAAGACAATAAATGAAACACTATTCTGGATAATAAATCGATGTTGGCAGGATAGGTTTAGAGTGGAAACAAACTGTTTTCGAACATATAAAAGTTCGAATTTTCGTATTACATTCGAAAGTCAAGTGTGAAAAGCTTGTCAGTTTAAGGATTCGCAGAAATCAAAAACAACAAACGACTAAAATACTAAGAAGGGTTACACATTTGGTTATTTTAATACAGCTAGAGAAAAACAACCAAATCATGGATTTGATATAGACATTACGTATTAAGAAATCACCAATAAAAGGTTTTGTGACTTCTATAGGAATGTTCAGTTCAATTACCCGTACAGATGACAAAGTAGTAAGGCTATGTAGACCAACAGACTTCAAAGTCTAGAATATATACATAAATATATATTTCAGTTAAATGTAACCCATATTTCACCAAGTATCAAGTGTCTCGATTTGTCACTGATGTGAGTCTGTTGTACAAATTTTAACGGAAGTGTATGCAATCATCAAATGACACTTATGGTCGGAATATTACATTAGTTAAAAACAATGGGATATAGAACAGCAATGATGTAGCAAACAGTAACAGACTAACGCAATATACTCTGATAAACAGTCTAAAACAAATTTACTACATGGGTATTAGCATCATAATAATCATTTGTCTTGTAATAATATACGAATGTAGACACTAACAAATACATTTTTATATAGATATAGGATTAGAACAGTTCAAAATTAAGGTATTCAGAGAAGAATATAAAAGATAATTTCCAATATATAAATAAATACCAAAAATAACTAGTGGTCAATATAACACATGTGTAAGCAAAGAATTAAAAATATTCGGTTTTGAGTTTTATAATCCAAAATCGTTGTCAATTTCTACCAAATAAATTCACTGATAAAGCCTATAGTTCAATATACTACTAAAACCAATGCTCAATAGACGCATATATTTATATCATGGTTTTTTTCTTATCACACTGTATCCAACTATTTGTATTTCACCACTGGAAACAATTGAATCATCGTCAATCTATTCGAATAGTGGATATTTTGTCATATGAATAAACAACGTAAAACTTTTCATTGTTCTAAGTAGATTACAGGACTAATAATACTGATTTTATGAAATCGATTGTTTACAAACGAAATAATGTTTGTAACGACTTGGAAAAATACTCGAAAACAGTAGGAGAATGAACACAATTGTAAATCTAATCTACTGCACGATTTATCTGAAATAAATATTTTGGTAAAATGAATTTGACTATATTCATACAATTCTAATCCTGCCCATTTGCATTTCATAATCATTGATTGCATAACAGATATACTTGGGAATAGACAAACACTTATTTCAAATAAATACCCAGTTGTCTCACAAGTTTTATTGATTATTCTAACAAAATAAGCAATAAAAAATAACCTACTAAGAATAATGATCGATGCTTAGGCACATGTGACGGCTTGATTTAATCTTAATGTTTGAAAACATCAGTTCAACTAAACATTCTTGACACCGGTGTAATCGAAATAGATTATTTATCTGAGTTACGCGTACATGTCATATGAATTGTATAAACTATTGATTAGGAATAATATATTAAGGAATATTCTTAACTAGTTTTTGATCACAAACGATAAAAAAAATGACGCACCCTTTCGCTAACCAAAATATTTCAAAGATTTTGTAAACTGCCTTTCGATTCATGATCCTTTTAAAACGTAGGATATCAATAATGGTTAGTTTTCTGGTGAGCACTTTTCTATTTAGCAACGATTAACATCAAAACAAACGTGAGTAGGAAAGTAACTTGTGAAAGTACCTGATATATATATATATATATATATATAATTGCATCATAGAGTGACGGTTTTGATATTATTTCTACACAGTTTGTGGACTTTAATTTATGGAGAACGATGAGTATTGACAAGTCGGTAGTCGTTCGAACAATATGGATTATTTTAACAATTTCCAAACTAGAAATCTAGCAAATATACCGGTTCACATAATTCAAGGCTTTCATTTTACTCTGAAAAGTTATCTCCACGTGAAACTGACCTCACAATTATCACAGCAAACCTTTATAGAGAAAAAACAAAATGACCGATATTGACCTTAAATAAAATCTATGATTAAGACAACATATGTCATATATTTGATTAAGAACATTTACAAAGTAGCTAGTCTAGTCCTTCGAAAAGTTAAATGTAGAAATGAAATAAGAGGATCAGTAAATTAATTTTATTACACAAAGTAACTGACATTAACGTTGGTGTGAACAGTCTTAACTGATACGATCCAAAATCTGTCATTCAGGGTTATTTGGTAGCACCCAATGTCCCTAAACTGCTGACTTTAGTCAGAAAGGGTAAAATTCAGGAACCAGTTATTAGTGTTTGTGGAATATTACATTTTACGTGATTAGGGAAGCTTAAGAAAGTAACCAGAAGACGTATCTAACCAATGCACTAACGGACAAACAAAATAAAAATGTACATTCATCAAGGGTTGAGCTAAATCTTAAAGGTACATGAAACAAGGCTATTATTTCATTCAGTTTAGCAGTATAGGTAAGTGTTTCTGTGTATTACCAATGAATGTCATAATATTCAATAAGTCAATTAACAGTATAATAAATCAATCGTTAGCATATTAAAACAAAATTGAAGTTATCCAAAACACACAAAAATGGCAGTTAAATGAATTAAAATTTATAATGTGTTTTATAGGTTAAAAAATGTTCATTTTCATCACTCCCTGATAAATTACTCAGTTTAGTCATTTCCTGAATAGTAAAAAGAAAACCGACAATATACCTTGTCACTACCAACTTACCCGTAGAGAAACAATAATTACTTCTTCGTTCTCTCAATAAGTAGTTGATGATGAGTGCTTTATACATCTAAATCATAGGGGTGAATTAGTCTACCATGATAGGTTGATTAAAACTGAACGTAATTCAACCAATTAGAAATCAGACAAGTTCAGAACCTTGAGAATACAAGGCTAGAGAAAAATCACGCCATGGGTGAAAAGTTGAACTATTTGATATGCATTTTTTCCAGACACTCATCAAAGGTCATTGAAACAATGAACTTTGGCTTCTTTTAAATTAAATGTTTGTCAAATGGAAAAGTACAACACGAAAGAATAAAAAATGAGTTATTGTTTATTTATTTTTGAGTGCCAACCTTTGACGACATGAACAGAAGGTCAGTTGGATTATATTCGAAAGCATAAATTTTACGTGAGCCTAACTAAAATAGATATTCTTATTACACAAACACATATAGAAAGATAATTAATACTATGTTCAGCCGAGCAATAAAGAATGACAGCTCAAATTAACCATTTACTAAAAAACAAAATCGCCGAAGACTATTCTTGTCTTTTGGTTTTCAAAAGCAGAATAGTATTTTACACAATCTGTAAATAAAGTTGTGCTTAGTCAAATAGTACCGTGTGAATAGCCCGCTAGTGTAACAGGGTTTCATCCACACGCGGACTTTCTTCGAACAATCACTTAACTCTGTTAATTTGACTGTACAAAAACAGTTGAGAAGCTTCAAATTATTGTCTTAGTGGTGAGGACTGAAAGTATTTGATGTGGCTTGAATGGATTTAGGCTTAGTAAATCTGAGATTTTACTGAAATACAATGAAAGGGTTTGTAATAACACCAAATGAAGTGTATTCCAGAATTCTCAAAATCAAACTGGTGAAAAAAATGAATAGATTCAACATATTAGTATCTACTTCTTTGTAATATTTTTATTCCATTTTCAAAGTGCTACGATGCAGTGATATATCGAATTACAAAGACTTAGACATTTTTCAATATACATTTTTAGATACCAAGAGTTATATGATATAGTCGATAATCTAAATATTCAATACTTAGTGGTCAGGGGTGCTGATTCAGCAATTGATTTCATGAACATTACTTTTATTCGAAGTACTACAAGTGAGATAGAATTTATTTAATTTTAACTCAGTATTCTCTGTGCTGCACTTCAATAAACTCGATTAACATAAATTAATTTATCGTCACTCTTGTTGTTTGCACTCTTCCAAATAACTATTTCTTTAGTCTGACGTGCATATCTGTCATTATAACAAACGTGAAACGGTTGATATGTCTCATTTTACAAATACGATATTATCATTTCATTTCTAGGTTACGATCCCTATCTATATACCGTTTGGGAAGAAGTAGTTTACACGAAATTGTTAGCGCTTTCTAGAAGTCGCAAGCTCTAGGATTCAATCAATTTTCAAGAAGACAGCAGCTTGATATATGTCACTCGTAGAGTTGTGTGTATATGGAACCCTTGTCACCCAGTGTCTGTCAGTTTAAATCTACATACTCACTTCATGCTCTTACCAGATGTTTCTATATGCAACACGTCCAAGATAAACGGCCATGCCATGCTAGTTCCAGTAATTTTTCAATTTTTTATTTTTGTAACCTAGAGCTGTTTAGGTCTACAGTTTGTGGCTTTTGCGAAGCTGGTGGCCTTTTTGTTACAATATGATGCGTGGTGAATATTTTACCTCCAGTTTGACGTATTCGGACTGGTTTAACATTAAAAAGGCTTCAAGTAGTTTAGTAGATGCACTAAAGCTTCGATTAGACTAGACATATGGATGGTAAATCGACCAAAACGCCTTTTATAGAGACATTAAGTTTATGATGCTTGGTGACTGCAAATAAATCGTAGTGGCCCAAAAAACTGTTTCAGTGATCGGTACAAATATCTTCGCTGCAACACAACTCGGTAATCTATCAACTAGACTACGATTTATGGAA